AGGCTCCCCAGACCCTGATGTATCTATCTATCCCTCTAGCTGTCGATCTACCTATCTACCTATCTACCTACCTATCTATCTATCTATCTATCCATCTATCTATCTATGTAGATATGTACTTATCCCGGCCCTCTGTCTGTCTATCTANNCCCCCCCCCCCCCCCCCACAGCCCTGAAGCAAGGGATTGCTCCAGGTTCAGGCCCTTGGCCGCTCCCTGCGCCTCTTGGGGCCCTCCTACGTCCAGCGCTGGTCGGAGAAGGGGCCAAAGGGCTCGAAGCCGCCGGAGCGGTGGACGCTGCAGTGAGCGAGAAAAAGGAGCGCCCTAAGCTTCCTAAGCCCCAAAAAGCCCAAATGCGGTTGCCGGGGTTGTTTGGCGCAAGATCCCCCAAGCACTCCCAAAAGCTCGTAAACGCCACCTCCACATCTCCAGAATAATCACATCGATCACCCGGACCCACCTATCGGAGCCTCAGAAAGCTCCAACCAGCTTCGCACCACCTAGCTATAAGCTTCACTGTGGACACTTTCAGCTGTTCCAGGTACCGGCAAGTTGCGCAGCGCAAGCGCTTCGACGCCCTGGGTGGCGAGAGCTCCAGGGCCGGGTGACCGAGTTTGGAGGGATCCAGGGGATCCAAGGTTAAGGGATCAATACGATGACTACGGTACAAAGTTTCGGAGTTAGGGTTTCCGGCTCAGGATGATGATGACGATGGTGATGAACCATATGCCCTAAACCCCCGCTGTGGCTTGCCTAGACGCTACAAGCCCTGAACCTAAGGTTGGGGGAGCATTGGCTTTTAGGGATTTCCCTAAACCTTCGGCAAAGCGTTTGTTTGTATGCTCGCATGGGGATCGTTCGTACCTTTCAGCCTTAGCCTGCTTTTCTGAAGTTGGGGGTTGCACCGGTTTAGGGTTTAGGGTTTGAAGTTTAGAGGAACCGTAAAGTCGGGTCCACAGCCTCATCCCTACACCGTCGGCAATCAGAACTACTACGAGTGCCTCGTGACGTCCTCCTTCAGCCGGATGGATGACGCGGCACTCAAGGACCTGTGACCCAGCACCCGCGTGTGATGCGTTGGGCTTCCGAGCCGAGACGTGGATTGTTAGGGCTCGGAGGCCTTGATCAAGCAGAAGGATCGGTCTCTTTGGGCAATAAGTTTCGTGTGCTGCAGTGAGCGAGGGAAACTGACACTACTGCATGGGCGCTCATTGCATTGCCTTGCATTCCGTCGTTGTAGAGTGGCTAGAACATATCACAGCGTCCAAGGTGCCTTCTGTTGTTGCTGAGAGCCGTGGTATACCGACCTATCCAGAGTCTTTTTTTGCCACCCAGTGGCCCTGTCAGTTGGGGACTGTTTCTAGCCCTGCCTTTGCTGAGCAGACCTTTCAGCTACCATCGCAAGGATCCTAAGTCGATATGATGTGTTTGTTGTCGTGGCAGCTTGAACGAAGCTCCTTACAAGCTCTTACAAAGACACCGAGCATCCCTACTACACCTAAACCCTGAACCCTAAACCTACTACACCTCGCCAACCCCGCCCTCCTTTCCTGCAGCTCTCTGCGAGGATCGCAAGCAGATCGAGAAGGAGCCGCTAGCCCTCCCTACGCCCTAAGATGCTCACCTTCCGGGTTCGATAAGGGTGTTGTCTGCTACAGAAGCAAATGGTGGGGCCCTATCAGGGTCCTATCAGGGGTTTCATAGGCGTCTCCAAGGGTGCTAGGGTATGCTAGGGTTTCATAATTTAAGAGAGTCCTAAGCCCCCAAAGTCTTCAGGCCTTGCCCGTGGGGTTCACAGCTCGGGACGGGTATAGTGACATCTGTAGTTGTGCATATGTGGGTGTTTGTGTGTGTGTGTGTGTCTCTCTCTCTCTCTCGGTCTCTCTCTCTCTCTCTCTCGCTCTCTCTCTCTCTCTCTCTCTGTAAGAATTTGTTTGCATGCCTGAATTAGAGTTATTCTCTCTGTATACCTACATACCTAGACACATAGATACAGACATACACAGTATTTTTATATGGACAGATAGGTAGCTAGATGATGTATATTCATATATGTGTATGTTGAAGCATCATAAGCATGCGCAAGTGCATAGGCACTCCACAGGCACTGCAGGTGCATTGATATGTACACATTCTATGCTGTTGTATGTCATGCCATGTTCTGTTTTGTATACCATTTCATTCCAAGCACTCGCCGCCCGACTTCTCCAGGACCTGCCGCGAACCTTTGCGGCTCTTCCGCCGCTGAAAAATCCGGAAGATGAGGCAGTGGAGTGTTTAAGGGGGTTGGGGTTATAGGATAATTATAACAGTTATGCTTATAGGATAATTATAACAGTTATGGTTATACGATCATTATAACAGTTATGGATATAGGACAACTATAGCAGTTATGGTTATACGACAACTATAACAGTTATGGTTATAGGATCATTATAACAGTTATGGTTATAGGACAACTATAACAGTTACATATGGTTATAGGATAATTGTAACAGTTATGGTTCTAGGATAATTGCAACAGTAATGGTTATAGGAAAATTATAACAGTTATGGTTATAGGACAATTATAACAATTATGGTTATAGAATAACTGTAACAGTTATGGTTGTAGGATAATTGTAACAGTTATGGTGATAGGATAATTGTAACAGTTATGGTTATAGTGTTCTCGGGTTTAGGGCGTCGGGTTTGATATTTAGCGGGTTAGCTTCGCGGTTGATATTGTGTGGTTTGGGGTCGGGAGAGCTCGTAGCATATGTGCGGGGGTTGAGGGAGTGCTGAACAAACCGCATAACTTTTCCTTGCTCTGGGCCGGGGCTAGCTGGAACGCCGCCACGACGACGACTATACTACTGCCGCTGCTACTCCTCCTCCTGCCGCTGCTACTACTATTCCAGCGCCTCGAAATTTTTAATAAACCCCAAAACCAGAAGCAGACACCCCAGCCCCTAATCCCGAAGACCATAAAACCTTGAGACACTGCAGTCTCCAGTCATCTACGTCAGGAATATCTGAAGCCGCTGCTAAAGCGAGTCTTGGCCGCCTACATCGAGAGAGGCGGGGTGCACCAGGTGTAGGGGCCCTGTAATCTACAGAAGCTCCCCGAAGCCCTTTTGTTCTGAAGGTCATAATATACGTCCTTAAATCACAATCCTGCGGAGTGCGGCAAGTTGTGAAGTATAGTAGTGCATGTCATGATTTTCACCCTATGACCGAGCAGAATAGAGGAGAATCGCGTCTGAAGTGCAAGAAATGATGAGTGGAGGGGGGTCACCAAAAAAGTACAGCAGTAGAAAAGGATTGCATGAGGGTAACCAAAGAGCCCAACCTCCAAACCCTAAGCCCTCGACCCTACAGCCCTAAAACCTAGACCCGCAGCATGCGGAACCTGGAAGAAGCAAGACAAGGTACTTGAAACCCTAAAGGGTTGGGGCCCCAACAGGCCAGGACCTGTTAATTGTGGGGGTGGCTGAGACAAAACTAACCTGACACAAGCGCACGAGACACATGCGCATCCCAATTTCTGAAGCAGCACACCCGCCGCACTCACAGTGTAAACACCTCAAGACCTAATCCCTAAACGCACTAACCCCTAAACTTGCCCTAAACCATACACCACGCCCTAAGCCCCAAACCCTAAACCCCCTAAACCCTAAAGCCTCACTCGCCGCATTAAGAAATCCGAGAGTCGTATCGTTCCAGGTCGAGCGGTCGGTGCGGCATCCCGGGCCAGGACCTCGGAGGACGAAGCTCAGAGGCTTCCTGTTTTGTGGGTTTAGGGCTTAGCACTTAAACGGTTTAGGGCTCAGGGCTTAAAGTGTTAAGGAGTTAAGGGGTTTAGGGTTTATACGATTTAGGGCTACCTTTTCGATGTTTGCTTTGTTTTTGGTAGTGCTTCTTATACTGCATGGCTTTTAGCAGAAGGTTGTACATGAATGTATTCGTAGATTTGGGATTGCATGTTTCTTGGCGAGTGTTTTGGGATTCGGTTCACAGTTTTACAGTTTCGGGTTCAAGGATCGTGCATTGTGCAGTCATTCTCGCAAGTAAGACGGAAGGGGCTCAAGGAACCCCAAGCCCTAAACCCACTCTTTCGACCTGGCAAGGCATGCTGCGCTGGGTACGAAGCCATGAGATACTGTTGATGATATAAACCCTGCATTACCCTCAGGACCCTACACTATGGGAATTATGGTATATTCCTATTATGGGTATATAATGCTAGTGCAGGATTTATAGCGAGCATGGCAGTGACCCTCAGAGTAATAACTATATGAAGAAGGGCTTATTGATGCTTCATTACTCTCGGCCGTCGTTTGAGAGATGTATGAGAGGAGCACAGGTTACCATGTCTCAGATGTTGCCGCCAAAGGCGTTGTTCAGTTGGTTCTACTTCGATGCGGCAGATCTCTATAGATATGTAGGTAGGTAGATAGAAAGATAGATAGATGACAGTATGCCGTACAGCTTAGTTGCGAGATGCCAACATGCAGACAGGATGACTTCTTCGTTGCAGCTGCGTAAGGCCAACGGTGTTGCAGCCTTCTCCATGGCTGTCACGACGGCTCGGTACGCTCCTTCCCGGACTCCCGCCCGGCACCAGGGTTCCCATTGTGTAATCAGGCCTGAGGGTAACTTTATGGCATTTAGAAGCTTGCTGTGACTGGCTGATGTAAAGCACAACTCATATGTTACACAACGTCAAGGTGTTTGCACGCGTTAATGTGTTTGTATCGTTTTGCCGACTGAGTTGAACAGAGCTTAGGAGGCTTCTCGTTCAGATGCACATGAGGTCTGAAGCACTCGAAGCACTCTCTGAATCGGCTGCTGTGATTGCTGCATTGGCCGTTTCGGGCTCTGAACGCACAGCTTTCCCTTCTCCTCTCTCCCACAGGGACTCCTACTGTCCCAGTCGCACCCGCCGCAGACAGCCAGCTGACCAGCTTGCAACTGCAGACTCTATGCTTTCACCTCAAAGAGCAGGGTTGCTTGTGGCAGGGATTCAGAGTTCACCTCTCCTACCCAGCGCGGTGCCGGCAGCATGCTCCCGCCGTTGGTGGCGATCAGCCGCGGTGGTCACGGCCTGCCGGGGTTGGGACTGTCCTGATGCGGATCGCAATGTCTAAAGTAGTAAGCAGTGCTTCTGTCAGCCGCTGCAGTCGGGACCTGCAGCTTGTTGACATATTCCGCAGGCCAGCCGAACAAGGATGCCGAGGCCGCCAGCATGTAGCGAGCCTGTAGCGTGAAGCTGGATGGAATGTCAAATCCTGAACAGTAATTGCTGTCTCACGTGCGCCCGCTTGCAGTCGTCTTGTGTTGCATGTTTGGCCTCGGTGCTGCGCGAGACGACTCTGCCAATCCATCTGTATCCGCACCTCGACCTTCCAGGCGATTGTGGCCAAGAAGCCGGTCGTGCCGGACCGCTTTGCAGAGAAGGCCGCCAACTTCAAGGCAGTGGTCGACTGTGTGCGGCTGTGGGCAGGGCATTTGGGAGTGATCTGCGTTAAGATGCAGGACATTATGTGGCAGGTATTGCGTGTACGCAAAGCATGTGGAATTTCAGGTTCACTGTTGCTTCGCTCATGACCCTTGCTACCAGACTGGTCGTAGTAAGACCAGAACGTGAAAGATAGAACAAGACGCGACAGATCAGGTATCCCGAACCGCACACCTACCACCGAGCCTCAGGCAGCGGTGGAGGGCAGCAAGCTGAGCATCGAACGCGACGCCTGGACGAAGAAGAGCCACAGTAAGAGATTGTTCTTGTCTGAAGCACCTGCAGGTGGGTTAAGATCCGCGTTTGAGTCGGGATCGCGCTGGGGGTTTCGGGTTCTCCTGTTTAGGATTGGTTTAGGGTTCAGGGTTTTAGATGTCCGCGGTTTAGGGTTCAGGGTTTTAGATGTCCGCTACACTTGTGTTTGTCCATGCTGTGATAGCCCAGGAGCACCAAGATCGTCTCAAGCCCAGCCCTGAGACTTTCCGAAGTCTTCCTGACGCCCGGGGTGATTCGGGACGTATAGGGTTTAGGGTTCATGCACTTGTTGCGATTGACAGTAAACTCCTCCTTAAGTACCCTGGAGCCCAGGCGACACGAGATGATTGACGATGGCTTGTCTGCTGTTCAGGAGATGTCCGGGTAAAGCTCTGCCATCAAATCCCACACCCCACACGTAGCAAAACCCTGGAAACCGCACACCGTACCACCCAGAAGAGGCGGTAAGCCACCAATAGAGCTGCAAGTCCCTACACCCTAAGTGCAGCGAAACCCAAGAATTTCCCCTTAAGAGTTGAAACCCGGCAGGACGAGCAGCGTCGCGAGGCCGTGATGGACCAGCGAGCGCCCAAGGAACCAAGGGTGGAAAGGGTGCGGGTTCAGGGTTGTCGGGTTTTTGGCATGGGTGTAGGGTTTGCCGGGAGAAGGACATAAAATGAAGGGAAGAGGACAAGGCACAGATACGACTCGACCTCACTCTCATGTAGATAGGAGTGCTGAGCCCCGAATGGATCTGAACCCAGCGTCCCGACACCACAAATTTGAATCCAAGCTCCTAACCCTCAGCTGTGAACTTCATACCATCCCAATACAGGGCTTGAACGTGCTTGGAAGCAAAAATGCCAAACTCTGAGTGATGCTCACCATTCGGCGTGGCCCTTGGTCCAACACGGAGTCGTTGTTGCACATTCGAAGAGTAGCAGCATAGAGGCCCGAAGACTTACCACATACTCTTCCTTAGGGTTCCACATGATTAGTGTACAAAATATTTCACGAACTCCAATCTAGTTATTCAGGTCCCTGCTATAAAGAACCCTGAACCTTACTCCAATCATTGAGGCCCTCGAATCAACGCCCTGAAGGTAAGCTTCGAAGCCCAGGTTTCAGGAGCAGGAGAAGCGCCTGGCCGTGGCAAAATGCAGGCCCCGAACCATGGTTGAGGGTTCAGGGTTTAGGGTTTAGGGTTTTAGGGTTTAGGGTTTAGGGTTTTAATAGGGTATATGACCTACGGTGTTTTGGGATGTTTAGCGCCTTATGAGGCTTCTCAGGCTCATTGCAAAAGTTGGGGTTTTGAGGTTGAAGTTGCAGGGGCCTCCATTAGTCGCAACGCGGGTTTCGCCAGCTCGACTTTTTGGGTTCCCTTTATTTATCCAAACAGTAGGAAAAAGGGTACCCTTATGATTAAGGGGCTACTGTGGAACCTAGTCTATACAGATTCAATTTGTCAACGGTTGCAGGATCGTTTGAAATTCCGTCACAGTTCAGCATGTTCCAGAAGCTTGTCCAGTTAACGACCTCCCAACCCGAATGCCTAAATCTCAAAGCTGGCTTAACCGAACCTGAAAGATCTTGTACAATCCCGCACAACACTTGAGAAGCCTCACAAAAATACGGAAAATCACCAAAGCAACGCTCCCCAATCCCAAAATCTCGAGCGTTTGGGGAGGCACTGGTCGACGGCCGACCTGACATCCATGGCGGTTCTCGGAGCAGCCGCGACCTTGGCTACAAGGAACAAATACGGGGCTAACATAATATAACCTCATCTCCTAAGATAGAATGTCTGTTGTAAGACAGTGCAAGGTATAACGGATTCCGAGAAGCATTGAAGAATGAGGAAGTAGCGTTTTTTTGTAAGTTTTGAGGCTTAGGTTGCAGGGCTTAGAGGAGAGCGGGTATAGGAAGCCATCATTCTGAATTGCTGGAGTTCGAGTAGGGCCTGGGATGGAAAAAGCTTGCCTTTGGAGTTACCTGGGGATCCAAAAACCTACCATTTTAAGGGTTCTACCCTCTGATTGTGGGGTCATAACCTACCATTTTGTAGGGTTTGGGGTCACAGGTAAGTGTTAGGAGTATTAGGGGTTAGGGCTCAGAATGTTGGGTGCGTCATCTCTGCGATGCACTGACAGCCAGTGGCTATAGCAATGCAAGATTCCTGAACGTCGGTGTCAATATTATTAATAGCTAGCAGGTTCTTGACACAAGGATCCGGTAAATCTCGGTCAGGAAACTTTCTACACTATGTCTTCACCGGATCTAGGGCATGCACTGCTGAGCGTCTTGCGCTACTTGGAGGATCACGGGACTTGGTAAGTACATAGGTTAAGTAGAGTCATAAGCAAAACTACCTGAGCAAGGATACTGGTATAATACCTCCATGCGACGTTCCGTCAAATAGCTGGCACAAGCCAGTTGTCGCTCAAGTCAGTTGCGGCCCACGAGCCCAGGGTGCCTTCGGCACAGTCTTCCTCGTGAGTTTGAAGGACTCCCCATCGCCTCAGTGAGCCAGGGAATGCGCTTAAGACTGTCTGGTGCTTAGTAGGGAATGGGGGAATGGCTACTATAACGGACCTTAAGGGACTATCATAGGGATCCATTCCCCCATTCCCTACTAAGCACCAGACAGAAGAACTTAAGGTTTTTTGGGGTCAGAGTTCCTTGCTAGCGACGGGGTACCTTCTCAGCTTGTTGCTTGTTGAAAGGTGTTCTTCCGCGCAGGTGTGGGATTCAGGGATTAAAGGGTCGAAGGTTGAAAGATGGATAGTAGTCATGTGTGAGGATGATGTTTAACTGGGTCAGTGAAGTGGCACGGGCATGTGCTCTGTTCAACTCTCTGAACAGGTACTTCGCACTGAAGCAGATGACAAAGCAGAGGCGCAGACACAGACATTGCAACTTCGGAGTGGTTCCTTTCCGACGACTCATTGGCCGACAGAGGATTGGCTGTGCAGCTTTGTGGCCGTTCTTTCATTTCGGCACGGTGCACGTCAGCTTAGGGGGTTTAGGAGTCTGCATTCTCAATGCTGTCGTGTCTGTGCAGGCATGCAAAGAAGAATATCAAGAAGGGCGTGTACAACGAGCCCATAGCTCAGATTCTCTTGCTTCGACAGAACAAAACTGCACAACGATAGCATACTAGGATAAGCACGCAACATGAGTATGCAAACAATGTTATCGGTTGTACATGCGCATCAATGCGATAAGCCGGCCAGCCAAAGCGTAGGCTTTGCATTCAATTAATAATGTGTCTTAGCTGACGCTGACAAGACACTAGGATTTGGCTAAGTGGCCAGCTATCTATATGATAACGACTTTCAGCTTTGCATTCATTGAGCAGAAGCAAAGACTTACAGAGGTGCTTTTTGTGAAATTATGGTCTTAGCCAGCAAGCTTTTTCGCTGGCCAGTTGATGTGCAACTGGCTAGCTCATCAAGCTGTTGATAAATGCCTGGACAGATACACGAATCGCTGTTGATTCAGCTCTTTTGCCTGGCTGCCTGACTGACTGACTGATTGACTGACTGACTCACTGATTGATTGACTGACTGACTCACCGACTGATGAAGTGAAAGAACGCGACTGCATTGATGACTGCCTGCAGCAGATTTGGTTTACGTCCTATGCTAGCCGTAGCATTGCTATCCGGTTACAGTGCGCTGCTTCAGATTAGAAGGCGGTTGCTGTCGCTTCGCAACTCCGCAGTCGCCCGGCATGCCGTGCACATCCATCACCACGGAAACAGCTCCACCGGTGGTCTGTCACCGGGAGAAGTCGTCTACTACAAGCAGGTAATCCTAATGGTCCTAATGCATGCTTACAAGATGTACAGTGCTCCATGCAGCCCTTTCCTCAGCTGAAGTGAGGGAAGCATTTGCAGCAGTACTTTCTTAGTGCTACATGTTGAAAACAACAAGTCCAAGGCCATTCCCCACTTTGGCCACTCGCGCGACGCGTCTATGGGTCTGCGAGCAAGGGTAACCGCCAACCAGACAAATGGCTGCACCTGGATCAGCACATCTCATTCGCCTCTTCAGTCAGACTCCGCGTTCCCCATGCAGTGATGCTGACGATGTTGGTGGGGTGCTTGCTTCCAGGGCTTTCCGCCGTGCAGGCGAGACGTTCTGGCACAGGCTCGGAACAGGCATGCCACTTGGTCTCGGTATGGTTTCTTTGTGCAGTGTCTTTGTGCTTGAAACTGCAGCAACGAGCGTACTGAGAAATCCAAGACTAGCCGAGCTGCAGCGAACTTGTGGCCACGGGCCGCAGGGAGTTTATCCTGTTCTTTAGGCACCGGGGCCAAAACAACCTTATTTCGAGAACCCGATATGTGGTCTGATGATACCTGATCTTTACCTTCGCATCCTTTCCCAAGCCTGGGCTTCGTGGAAGTTCGTAGAAAGAGCCGGCAACGCTTGGTGGAAGGTGGTTCGTGGAGCTTTTCGCCACTTTCCAGGACTCAACAACTGTAGAAGTCTTCTCTGGCTGGACTGTCTCCAGAGTCGAAACCGAAACCGCTAACCCCGAAACACTACAGCTTGCAGGACACCAACCACATCTACATGCTCATGGAGTGCAGCTGGCAAGCTTTGAGAGAACCGAAAAACCTTAACCCCCCAAGCCCCGAAATGGACCCAAATACTAAAACCATCCGCAACCCAAACCTATACCCTAAACTCCCACGATCGTGCTGGATGCTTAACCCAGGGCTCCACACAGGTGACTGCCATGTGCTGTCGGACATTCTCCTAGGCTCAAGGCTTATGCGTGCCAGTGCCTGACAGTCGCTGAAGGTACCAGAAGCCCTACAACAAGAACCATAACTCATACTTGTAGCTGTTGCTGCCATATTGCTATACAGACTCATTAGTATTGAAACTCTTCAGGATTTTGGGTTCTAAGCACTAAGTCCGACATCGTCATCATGTCACCTGGAGAGCTGACTGCAAGCCCAAAATGCTATGAAAGTCCACAGCGCTCAAATCCTAAAACTCTGCAGCCCTTGAGGCCCAAAGCCCAGAAGCCCAACAGCCGGAGCCCTGGATGCTAAATGCCCCCAGAAACTCGAGCCTGGCAGATTTCTCCCTGGGGGCGACCTTTTCAAGTGGATCGAGGTGAAGAACCGTTTTTCTGCTGCCGTGGCCTGAGACGTTGGGTGAAGGATCTAGGCTTCTGAAAAAGTTTTGCTTTCAATTGTCGTTGCTTTACCGGGGCCCTGAAGTGGCAAGCCCGAGGAATAAAACTAAAGCCGCCAAAGGGTGATGATGATGATCATATCAATCCAGCCTGGGTGCCGCACCCCTGGCGTAGCTCAGGGGACTCCGCGGCTGTCTCAGGAGCCCTGAAAAGCAACTCGAGGCTAAGCACCTCGCTAGACACTCGGATACCGAAAGCCCCGGAAGCTGAAACCGCAAGACACCCCCAAACCCTGAGTGGACCCTATATGGCTTAAACCGTAAACCCCGACCCCCAGACCCGGAACCCTCATCCCCCAAGGTAGTTTTCTTCGGCAGGCTTCCGAGTAAGACTGAATAGTCGGAAAGATTACATTACGCTTGTTTCATACATTTTTGCTGGGGAGCCCCTAAACCCTAAACCCTAAACTTGCTTCTCTTCTGACACCTCTGCAGCAGCAAGGATGAGACTCGGTTCTACATGGCAGAGCTCTTGGAGGCACCGGAGCCCGGTTTGAACCCTGCAGTCCTAGAGCCCTGAAGCCAGAAGTCGCCCAAAACGCGTGAGTTGAACATTATGTATACAAGCTTGGAAACTGTGACGTCGGAATCCCCTGGCACCGAAGTCCCAGAATCAGATCCTACAGCAATTCTCGGATCCCATGCTCAAACTCGAAGTTGGGACGACCCGAAGAAAATTTAGTCCGAAGCTGTGACATCCGCCGCTTTGTGGTGTGCGGTCTGCCGACTCGGATGTCGGACAAGAAACTGTGCAAGGTTTCATAGTTATTCCGGTATTAAGGCCAGCGCAAGACACAATCGCTTCGGGGAAGACATGGCATGGTGCTTGACGGTCTGGTTGGCGGCGTTGGGGCGGAACCTCGCATTTCGGAGATCAGTGCTCCGACAGCTTCCACAGGCGCTGGATGTGCTTCATCGTCATGGCTTTATCCACCGAGATGTGAAGGCGTGGGGGGTCTGAGACAAGGGGTGCGGGGTGGAGCCTGGCATCTGGCTTGGCTGTAGGATGTCCAAGAGTCTGGGCCGACAGATTGCACAGAATGTTGCCGAACAAAACAAACATGCCGATACCAGACCAGTAGATTCCTAGCCCTACAGTTTTCTCGCTCATCGCTCTTCCGGTCCCTCCCGCTCCCTCTCTAGGCACACAAGGTCCTGCAGTATCACTGTCTGCCGGTATTTCCCATAGGGATCCCCAGTTGAACAGCCAGTTCGACAACATGATCCTCACGGCCGGCGGCCACCTGAAGCTCTTGGATTTCGGCAGGGTGCCCGGAAAGGTGATTCGGTTGCTGGCAGGTGATGGAGGAAGTCGGCCAGGGACGGGGGGGGTGTCAGGCTTGGCGATGCTGGCACTGAGGGGCTTCGGAGTTGGAGGATGGTCGAGGTCACTTCCAAACCGAGATTCGCCGAGACGCAAGAAAGCGACAGGGAGTGTAGCCGCAGCCCAGCCCGAGCCCAGCCCATCCCATCCCATCCCAGCAATCACTGCTACTTCAAGCATTGCTGCTTCTGTTTTTCGTATTGCTTCTACTTCTGCCTCGTAACTACTTCTACTGCTTGTTCTTGCTCCACTGCTGCGATGACGCGTGCTACAACCTAAGACTGAAACAAGAAGAGCAGACCAGGCTAGGAACGACGACCGTGATATCAATGCAAGTACTACGCGCGCAACATTAATGACTTGGCAAACGGGAGCACAAGCCGCCCCGCCGCATGTCAGCCCGAAGGTCCACAGCAAGCGCGAGCGTGCCAGCAATTAACTAAACTAGTATTATGAAGAGGGACTTGGTGGGTATAGCATTTAGGATGGAATCTGTAAGAACCACGATAACTTTGCAGCGGATTAGTTTGCAACGTGAGAAGGAATAATTTTGGCTGATGGTAGTGGCACTGTCCCCGACGACCAGCATCGTGCAAGGACAGGGACCGCTAGTTAGTTGCAATATCAGGCATAACACCGCCAACAACGCATACCAGCTATCATCGTCATCTCCAGCCTCACCATGACTATTGCAATCATAATCGCAGCCATCACGTTGATCAAGGTGCGAGGTGACAGTGCTGAGACTACAACAACAACTACAACAACAACAACAACAAAACAACAACAACAACAAC